TGTAGAAGCAGTATCCTTTGGGGTCACTACAGAAAATTACAATATTCAAATCACCAGGTAAAGCATGGTTTGTTGATAAACTTGTCATCAAAGAAGGTCTTGCCGCTGAACAAGAAACTGAATTTAAATGTGTTAGGTGAGATGATAATCAAAATATGACACATTCTATCACTATTGAATATTTAATTGTTGGTTGTTAGATAAACAGATAATCTATACATCAACATTTAATACATAAATAAATCAGATGATTTATGTAGTCTACATGATACTCTGGTAATTAAAGACAATTTCAATATTTTGCATTATATGTTGAAAATAGATATTAATTCTTTCTGTTTATTGTATTTACACTTTTACTTAATATGTTACTTTTTTCATGCAAAATATTACTGTTGCATTATATTGTGTTACTTTTCCCATTATATAGAAACCTTGGTTATGATAATCCAGATGAAACCATAGAGGAAACATTTGATTTGTCAGAAGTAAGGGAGAGTAGTAAGATTGTTGTTCCTCTTCCTGAGGAACCAACTGAATCACGTGAGTCAAAGTTGAAATAATATGACAGTACACCATCGCATTGACCTCTGCTGCGCGTCAGTCAATACTCCCGCTGTATTGTCTTCTTGCATACTTTGAGGTATCCTCGTAATAACCTTATTATATACATCTTTTCCTTCCAAGGATACATCATGGGAATGCCAAAATCCAAAATGTTTAGAACAGACTCAGCGAAAATCTTTGTGTGGAGTCCAGTCAAACCCCGGTTACAGCCATGTTTATTTTTATTATTAGGGGACGCTTACGCGTAATCATTCCATATTGGGAATTCACATTTCCTAATATGGTAAAAATTGCAACATGCTGTAACTTATGGCGTTACAGTGGCAGATGTATAATAATATATACATGTATTAACTAAAATTTAGTGAAACCAAATCAATGTCACTATTATAATATCATTCAAAGTTTACTTCCATTTACTGTTTGAAGTTTAGGCATCAGCAGTGTACAAATTCAAATTCAATTACCACAAATTACCATGGATGTAAGCCTTAAATTTATTTATGCAAGACCACCTAAAATGCCATTACAAATGTAATTGTAAGACAGTCAGTTTGATATTTGGGACATATCTCAATCACCCCTCATTTATTGCTCTTTGGTTTTAATTAGAAGATAGTTAAGAGTTTCTTGTTGGTAATACAACAAAACACAATTTATAGTAATTGAAATTAAACAATTAATCTTTTCAGAGGGAGAATGGAAAGTTTATGTGACAACTAATAAAGATGAGAATGCTGGCACTGAAGCCAAAGTGACATTCATAGCCTATGGTACAGAGGGAGTAAGTCAGGCTTATGTACTTGGTGAAGATAAACCAGAAAAATTCAACCAGGAACAATTGATGAATTTGATGTAAGTAGATAACTACTTACATTAAAACAGTTTTGAGTTCCCATTTTGGCCGTCTACATATTTGTAACCTACATGTTAAATGTTATCATCTTTTCTAGGTAATTCTTGGTAACATTGGCAGGATTTACAAAATTCGTCTTCAAAGTGATAATAGTGGGAAAAATCCATCATGGTTCCTGGAAAAGGTAAAGTAGTAATAATACCACGGCCAACTCATGCATGCACCATACCATAGTCAACTCCTGTATGCACCACACCATAGTCAACTCGTGTATGCACCACATCATAGTCAACTCATGTATGCACCACACCATAGTCAACTCA